TTGTACTTTAGATGAGATATGAGTTTTTCATCATTATACGTTAAACTTGTAGATAAAATTAGAATATTTTCCTTCAGAAATAAATTCACTAGGTTTTCTAACAGTTTCTGGAAACAAACATTGCCGCAAGATTTAGAATGTTCAATAATCTATGTTGTCATGTATTTATCAGATGCTAAAACCTCAAATCGTGTAATGTGAGAAGTGTCACGTGATCTCAAGATAGAAAGTGGCGAACCTGTCGCTTTTCTCTCATGAGTTATACATTCCCATACATTCTATTTCGAAATGGATAGTCAGCATGTTTTGCTTTAGATTTTCCATTATTTTTTGGGTGTATGTAATTGATTACTGTTTGTATGGGTTCTCGTGTCCATTACTTCAACATTACACTTACAATGATGTTCGATTAACACCTGAAATATATTTTAATAAAAGAGGTATGGATTCTTTCTTTTGAAAAAACTTGTTATTGTTTTTATGATTACTGTGGTTAGGTCAAATTCAAGTACACGTCTATCCTCAAGAAAACAGTATGGCTAATGGTATTAGTTCGCAAACACTAGGCATAATACCAAAATTAGATTGGTGTCGAATTGTGTTTGTTGTTCTCGAAACAAAAGTAAAGTAAAAAGCAATTCCAAACATTGAATTAGTAAATCTAAACTAAACCAAATTTTAGTGGCAAATCTATTTAAATTGTTTGAAAACATTTAATGATACCATATTTGCTGAACATAGGTAATTATCAACTTTAAGTGAGCAAACAGATGTCTTATTTCGCCCATATATTTTAGAGCGAATACTAATTTTTATCACAATGATCTCCTTGGTACATATGTGATTGGTGGTAGTGAAGTAGGCAACACATTTCTGGGTTATGTAGGCGAAGTTAAGTTCTACAGACGAATTGCACTCACACAAAAACAGGTTGGTCTTTTAGAAACCATTCATCAATGTTACATTAATCGCTTTTCTCTTCAAGTTCCCAAAACGACCAGATCTAAGCAAGTTTATGTTTAATTTGCATCATTATTGGACACTAGATGTCTGTAAAAGTTATCTTCAGTTATATGATACATACCAAGAACAATTTAAACGTTTAGAAAACCGTATACGAACGAGAAGTATAAAGCGATATTTGAAATTTAGAATTTCTGTCTTTTTGTTAATTTATGCTAATTTTAGATACATGCAGCAGAATGCCTTATTTAACAGTTAAGAATCGAATTATGCCACAATGTTTATTAATTAAAACATGGAAACGTTCTCGAGATATGAATGAAAATTATCGTGTGTACAGAGCAATTAAAAAACGAATAATCGCACAAAGATCCTTTTCTAAAGAAGAATTTGGTACAAAACTGTATGATTTAACACTCAGGATAATAGTAAGTATGTAGTCCGTAATCTATTGAATTTATGACTCAAGGAAATCAGGTATTTTGCACTAATCAATTATTAGTTGAGATAAGAGTCGGGATTAATTTTCCTCAAATATAATGTTTAAAATTGTATAACAATACAATCATGAGTTTTTTTGTCATCTTATTTTCAGCAAACATCCGATTTCAATTGTCCTCATATTGCTCGTTTGTTAGAACAATCAACATGTTACGGTAGTTTACAAGCTCAAACAACATTGGCTATGTTCTATAATTTTGGCCTATGTTTTGTCCGTAATTCAACGATGGTAAGTATTTTTTGTTTACGTATTAGTTGTTGTACGTGGTATTGAATTTGGACTAACGAGAGAACCTCTTGAGATGCTCCCCTTCGATGTCAATAATATTTTGCCCATATATACTAATGGTAGAATTACTTATCAACTCATCTTACGAGGGAACCTCTTGTGGCGGTCCCCTCCAATTTTAATGATATCTTGCCCATACATACTACATCTTGTGCTAGTAAAAACTCTAAAAGGATTTGGGTCTATATAACTTTTTTCAAAAGTTATGAATTTTTCTATTTTTCGTCTGCATGGTATTAGGTGAAATATTAAAAAAATCATTGTTCAGTC